GGCTCAGAACCCTGGTACCAGGATTTCCCATCTGCAGCAAATCCCCAAAACCTCCTGCTATCAGGGGAATTGAATTAATAACCCTTGTGGGACCCCTGGGTCAACCAAGCACATGCTTGGAGTTTCACTCCACAGGGTATATTTGTTATACATACATTTAATTACCTCACAGCCAGAAGGCAACGAAATCACCTGGTTGATGAGCTATGTAAAATACCTTGCAGCTCATGGGCTCCCAGAAACCAGCCTTGCTCACTGCCAGCAGCACAAAGACAAACCACAGGGAACAAAAGAGTTATTGGGTGGCCACGAAACAAAACGGTCATTAGACTTGTGAAGGAGACCTCTAATTACTTGTAGCACTTGTGGGAAACATTACCAGTTGCATCACCGTCATAAATTTGAATTTTACAAGTCATCACTGGAAGGCTCAAGTCAATCTTGCATTTGTTTTGCAAGCCAGTTCAAAGAAAAGTTGAAATATGGAAACAAATAGTGTGTCTTTTCCATGGGAAGAAGAGAATATTTATTCCTACCAGTTTCACGCTTCCAGCAGATTATCTTTAAAAAACAAAGCTTTTAAAATGCAGATGCAATCATCAGGCTTGAAAGGTATTACAGAACACAGGACCACGCACAGGGATTAACTCCTAATATCATCCAGCTGAACAGCAGCAGCTCATCTGGGCTTAACCTGCTGGATCCATTCCATTTGTAGGACCCAAGCAAAACCTACAAATCACAGCTAACAAGCAGGCAGATGGTGTTTTAAACATTGAGAAGCTTGGAGGACTTCCCTTGCATCTCCATTAAGGAACCAAATTTTTCTTGGAGAGGGCACATTTATTCATTCATGGTTCCTGTGCTCCCATCAGTGCCAGCAAGGGATTCAGGAGGGATCTCCAGGTGCAGCACATCCCTTGGGGCTCCCAGATTGGCCATGCACACACCACATTTCTCTGCAGCTCACCTGTGAGCACAGGGCTGGCAGGTGACATGCATGGCATCGGCACATGGATCTGGGGACACAGGTCCTGCCTGGCCCCAGTGACACACACAGCTTCAGCAAATTCCTTACAGCATTTTGGGACCATGAGCCCCATCTCTCACTTGTACTTTGGCTTTTATATTAATAAACATACTGCTGGAGCTGAAACCCCCATGGAGACCTGCTCACAGCAGGGACATGGGGACAGCTGTGAACCACAAAGAGGGAGGAAGAGAGCCCTACAAGAATTCATCTGTGTGGATGAGCTGCAGATCATTAATGAGTGGAATACAGGAGGTAACAGGCAATGCCAATGGCTCAGGTATGAGCTTCTTCTGACTAGAAAATCTGAGGAACTCAAAAAAAACCCCCAAACTGTTCTCTACTCTTTCTGCAACCAAGCTGATACAGTGAATCAAAAATAAAATTAGCACAGCAGGGCTTAGGAGAGCTTTGTGTTTGGTAGAGAAACAGGATGATACCAGTGGAACATCTAAAAAAATCTCATTTCTACTCTCCTGTGACTGCTGCCTGTGCCTGCAATGTCTCAGTCCTCCATGTCCTACTGGGACAAGTGAGACCCTCACAGAAGTGAGACCCAGGTTTCCAGTGGAGCTGGACCTGCCCATACTCACTTCTGTGCATTTGGGGCAGCAGGGAATTAGTGCTCAAGGCTTGGGGCAGACTCAGTGCACCATTCCATGGCTCTCAGGGGTGCAGAGCCAGCTGCTGCCAGGCTCTGAAGGAACTACAAGGCTTTCCTTTTAATCCCCTTTGCCCTTCCAACAGGCTGGGTGTAGAAGAAGTGGCCAGCGCAGTGAGGGGAGGGAAGGCTGTGAGGATGCACCAAAGGCACCAAACCAGACACTGAACCAAGTGTGGGATGGGACTGTACAGTCTGACTGCCCTGGCAGCTTCCTGCTCACCTTTAGCTCAGAGTAGGGCTCAGTGCTTTAAAAAAAGGCAGAGATACTTTCAACTCCAGTTTCTAAGCTCTCCCAGCACGTTCCACTCCTGCACACAGGGGAAGGGCCAGGCAGGGCAGCCTCACTCCTTCAAGCCCATCTGTGGGAAGGCTGCTTTTTGCATAAATAAAACCTCCCTTGATTGTTTTTCTTGGCCCATCCTGAATTACCCTTTCTGCATCCTGCCTGAACTTGGTTTGGAAATCAAGGCTCCCTGAGGAGGCACCATGACACAGCTGCATGGGCCACCCAGGACAAAGCCAGGCCAAGTGATACCACTTGAAGCTAATTAATCATTTACATCACTTCTGACTTGCTGCAGAAGGCAATTGAAAGGAAGCAAAATGCTCAGTGTGATGCACAGCATGGCACAGTAAATAAAACATTCCCTGCTTCAGCAGCCTGCTCCCACCTCCATACAGGGAGTCCAGGCTCTCCACCCAGCACACTCATCCTCTCCTACCCTTCCTCACCACAGGCTTCACAGGAGCCTTTTTCAAGCATTTACCCTTAATTACAAACCACACTGGATAATTACGCCATTTTTTACTGATTAAACCAATTTGGTTGTTTGGGGTGATTCAAATAGTCCACATGACATTAGATCTCATGAGGGATGAATGCACAAAGACTTTTAACATGAATATATCCATCCTTGTGGCATTTGAACTGCAGATATTCAAGTGTGACTGATGTGACTGATATTTTTTAGTTTCAAATATTTTTTTAGAAAGAACAACAACAAGCTTATAGAAGAAATCCTCAACCTGAATGAACAAACCTAAAAGGAAGGAGAAATTAATTTAAGAACCTGGTCCCTATTCAGAGGTGTTATTACATTCACAGCTGATATGGGGCAGTATTTTCCTCCCTCCCAAACAATATTAATAGCTCCATGAAGGAACAGTATCCCACTTGGAGAAAATTTCAAAGGCAGCAACCAAAATCTGTCTCCAGTTAAGAGCCAAGACTCTGGCCCTTCACTCCCAATTACAAAGTACATACCCAAAATAAAAAGCATACAGAGTGAGGTAATTTAGGAATAAGATTCCCTAAACATAAGAGGCAGACAGAGACTTGCTGAGCACTTATCAAGTAATTCAAATTCACCTCCAGGACCACTGCCTGCTGAGTTTGTGCACAGTTGCTGCAAAATCACTTTCAGCTGAGCTAATTTGGCAAGTTGGATATCAAACTGAACTTCTGCTTTGCTGTGACCATAGCAGTGCATCTGCTCCTGGAACCCCTGCTCACTGCTGGTTTTCCCAGCCCATCCCACTGGAAATGGAGAGCGTCTGAGAGCAGAGTTGGCCCCAGGCCTTTTGGGAAAGCAGCCTGCCAAGGTCAGTGGCCCTGCCTGCTCCCTGGTGCCTGTTATTGGTGTGCTGTGACAGCCTGACAGGGACACTGACACAGCAAGGGTGAGCAGCAGGCTCCATGGCAGCTCTGCCTGACCACTCTGGGTGTGTGTGCCAAGTTCTGCTGACAGGCGAGCAAGCAGCACTCACACACCTGCTGGGCTGGCTCACAAGGCACGTGCAGGGATGCTGATGAACAGAGAGACTTTGAGGAATTAGCTGTAAGGACAGATGCACAATAGGTGTCCCAGCTACTTCCAAACACTCTCACATGGACACGTTTTCCACATCTGAGCTGAAAGGGAGCCCTGCACAGTTGTAGTTGTGAGGGTTTATATAAAATTTGATTTTTTTTTTCTTGCTATATTTTAAGATTGGTTAAATTCCTCTTTTTCCTCAGCTGTCAAACTGGGACCCAGCAGTCTGCCAGATAATGTGCAGCCAGCAATCAGAAGCTGTGAATCCACAGAAGCACAATCCAACTCCTCTTCACCTTTAAGGAGTCAGACCAAAAGTGAACTACAGCTGCTGAGATGTGGGTACAATGAGTATATTATAGAGCCTCATCTTTCCAGGCTCCATGTCCACAGCTCTCCAAAGAGGCATGCAGCACTCCCGGACAGTGCCTGCAAACACAAAGGGTGCTGCTTCTGCAAACCTGGTGCTGCTGCACAAGCATTCCTGGCAGCACTGAGACAAAGCAGAGCAAAATTCGCCTTCTGGAGAGCAGAAACCCAAACATCCAGGCACAAGCACAAATGAGCCAGAGACCAGCATTCCAGTACCCTGGCCAGAAGTGCCAACCCAAGTCTGAGCCTAAAGAGAGCACCTGGGCATGGCAGGGGCTGTGGGTGAGCCCACCACCCTGAGGCTCATCAGGGCCATTAGTGGGACTGGTCAGGACTAGTTTCCCTACAAAACTTAGCAGTTAGGTATCCAGCAGAAAGACAAGTGAACTCTCCAGAGACTTTGTGTGGGAGTCTCAGAACAGCATGGATAGAGAGGTAACAGCAAAACACACCAAGATAACTCCCTGACCTTATCTCCTGGTGCACTGTGATTGTTCTCAAGCCTAAAACTTTGGTAAATATGACTGAAAGTTATTGACTGGCAGCTCTGCAGATAGACATCCTATATCCCCCACAGAGCACACACTGCACAGAGAGATATGACAAATACAATGGCACCAGATGCAGCAAGACTGTGCCCACCCTTCCCCTGGGCTGCAGGAGCAAACTGCTCTGAAGAGTGGCTGCACCTCCACCCAGAGTGCTAGCAGTGTGCTTGCTAAGCTTTTACTCAATGCAATGAGAATGCATAGCCTCAGTGTCTGAAAACTTCTTCCAAAACTATTTACAGTTTATACAAGGTGATCCTTTCAGAGTCCTTCCATCCAGTTTGCAATAACCTCCTTGTACCCTTTTCCTATGTGGCAGCAGGTTCTGCACAGCCTCTGACTGTGCTGATGGGCATTTCTTGCTTTCCTTATCAAAAACACCTGACTGGAGTGAGAGGTGTATTGGGAGGAGAATAGAAATGCAGAAATGTCTCTCCCTGAGAAGTGAAGAAGAAAGTGAATGGGAGGGAGGAATGAATTACTGGGAACCCAAGGCCTGGATTTACAGCTTGCAGTGCAATCTGCACTCAGGCATGTCCAAAATAGAGATCTGATTTGTGATCAAGATGCTTACCTGATGTCAGAAAAAAGATCAAAGAGCTGAGGACCTGAAACACAGCACAGACATTTAGGACTTCAGTGGAGGTCAGGAAATTGAGGAACTATTTTTTTTAGGGCACTACCTGACTTCTGAGAAGCAGCAGTGTGGTGTAACAGTGAATCAATAACAAGAATAAATGATGAAAATCTAATGGACTCTCAACATCAAGCTGTGCTGTACAAACCTGCCCACCAGTCCTTCTCAGATAACACTGATAAATGTCCTGAGACAGAACCACAGGCAGCAGCAGATCAAGTGATTACCATTCATTTCACAAAGCCTTCAGGAAGCACTCTTGCTTTCTACTTGATCCTCCCTCTCCTGAGGAGCAGATCAGTGGCTCAGCCTTTCCCAGCTGTGCCTGCCCACAGAGGAGCTCAGCTCAGGGTCTGGATCCCCACCCTGCTCCAGGAAAGGAAGCCCAAGAGGGCCATGGTGTGCAAACAGACCTGACTGCAGTGCAGGAGGAGCTCAGTCACACAGGTAAAGCCTCCAGACCAGCTGATGGGGGACACAGGCAGCCTGAGCTCTCATCCATGTCCACTCTGTGACACAGGTGGAGTCACCAACTGAGCAAGTTCTCATCCCTGCCTACAGAGTGGAATTCTTTCCCCTCAGTGTAGTAAAGAGAATGCTTCCCAAAGGCTCTGTGGCTGGACACACAAGTACAAGGAATTCCTCCCCAAACTCCTTAGGACAGAATTACATGTTACATTAGATGCTCTGCATTTTTTTAGGGCTGAGATCTCTGTTTAAACTGCAAGTACCATTATTTCACCCTAGTAAATTTATTCTTGTACCACCATCCCCAGCACAGCTCCTTTACAGCATTATAAATAAGCCTGTCCATCAGTCTGCAAAACCACACATGACAAATTAAATTTCCATTAATAAAGGTTCCCTCTTTCTTCATACCTGTGACAGAGGAGACAAGAGTCCTGCTGGCTGCTGTTTTGTCCTTTGGATAGCAGCAGCTCTGCAGAGAGGGAATCTCTTCTTTCTAAAATACAGAGACACAGCAGGTGAGGCAGGAATGCAGGCTAAAATCCTTTGCATGACAGGCTAGCAGGGAGAGCACCAAATTTGTCACCAAGTAGCACTGCCAGTGTTCAAAGAGCCAGTGTTCAAATATTATAACTTTGAAACTATTGTTATTATTTCCAGATGGTTGTTTTTATTTCCAGTTGTTTTAATTTTTGTTATTTTGTTATTTTGTTATTATTTCCAGTTGTTTTAATTTTTGACACCTAGAACAGTTTGTGGTTTTGCCAGGGTTTGTAAATATTTCTTAAATCTTCCTGACACGAGGTTGAGTAAGAAGGTAAAAGTATTGTATTTCTCACTGAACACAAAGGGCAGACCAAAGACAAACACTGGCCCAGAATTATAAATTGCCTGACTAGAAGAGACAAAATTAGGAATAGAAGGAAAATAAAATGAGATTAATAGAGGTGGGAATATGTAGAGAAAATAGGAAAATGGAAAAGTAAGAGGCAGGGCTCGAAAGAAATGGAACCAAAGTACTTGTCTTGTCTGTTTTGGCCAGCTAATACCATGCCATCTCAGTTTTCATACCCTGTTGTCCATGGAAGGAGAAGCCTAAGAAAGGCATCTAGGAGAAAGCAGGCTTTGTCTCTTTTTTAATCAAATAAAACAGAATCAGCAAAAGAGGCCAAAATAGATGCAAATCGGTCAGAAGATCACTGTGACAGGACTTCAAAGTCATGCACAGCTTGAAGCCTTTGCACCTGTATATTTAAATACTGGTATACACTGATGCTTGTGCAGTAAAATAAGTGCACATCCCTCACAAGAGCCTGGACTAGAGCAGCCAAAAGATCCTGACACAAACTGAGCTCTGCACCCACCCCAGCTTGGCAGGAGCTGATGACTTCACAGAGCACCTGCCGGAAGAAGGAGAGTTCTGCCCTCTCCTTTCAAAGAATGCTCTTATGTCTTGCAAGCCACATTAGACATTCAGCTTGCCCTACAAGGAAAGAGCAGCTTCCAGCCTTTTCCCTGGCTGTTAGGCTGGAAGAACATGGCCATGGCAGTGGAGTGCAGGCTGCGTGCTAGCAGGAACAGTCAGGGAGAGAAGTCACAACTACTGAGCCACTCTTTATCCCCAAAAAGCGCAGTCTTACAGCTGAGGAGCTGAGAGGGAGCAGGTTTTTCACCGAGGTATCAAAGCAATCTCTTTCCCTGAGCATTAATATAATCTGCACCTGTGCTCTCCCTGCATAGCAGCACTGACTTACCTCCTCCTCAGGCTTTCCAAATAATGAAGGGAGCTGCAGCCTCAGATCCTCCTGTGGGAGCTGCCAACGTGGGAAAGGGTTTTCAGAGAAGTGGAAAATCTCAGGGAAATCTCTTATGTGCAAAGTTAATAGGTAGGATACTCTCAAGGCAGCTCAGAGAAATGGTCACACACGTTTCATTTTCAGAAGTGGAAAATATGTGGTCAGACTGCCAGATTTCTCAGCCCCTCTTGTGAGTTCAGCAGCTACATAGAGATGATGAAAATGTGTGTATTGAGGGGTTCTGTCTCATAGGTGAGGGGCCCACCTCTGGTCAGGCTGTGCTGTTTGTGGCACTAATCATTTTTTAATTGGCTTTTTAAAATGTGCAATTACCAGCACATTCTAAGCACCTTTCTAAGGCAGAATGGGCTCCCTGGGCCAAAGGCTCAGCTCCATAACTACTCACCCTGTGCATAACTTCCCTGGCAGGAGAAGCCTTGTTAATAATTCATGAACAGCACTTGCAGATTGAGGCCCTCCAGCACTTTCACTGCTGTTGGGAAGAAAGGAAAATGGGGTCTCTCTGTAAAGGTGTGACATTTATATTAAAAAAAAAACACCAACAGCCCTTCGGAAATCCTTTGTTGAATTGGTTCATAAGAGCACAGTGGAGCTAACCTGATCATCTGCTCCCAGGTTCAGAGAGCTCATGTGTGGGCTCCTGAAAGGCAGGAACAAAGCCAGCTTGCCCCAAATAACAGCTCATTTGTCCTGACCATTTAGCCTGCTGCCTTTCCTCAGCTGCCTGTTGGTGTTCAAGTCTTAATGGGGCTGCAGCAAGCATTCCCTGGCCTTGCTTCCATCCATGGCTGGATCAGGTTGGCATGTGCAGTGTGAAGGTGAATTTCACTTCGTTGTGGTCTTGCACTTGAAATATGATGGCAGAGAGACATTATCCCTTGAATGCATTTCATTCCATTTCAGCCTCCTTTGTATTTCCAAGTAGATCCTCTGAGAAAATCCACTTTTATTTCCCCACCTTTCTCCTCCAACTTGCTTTTAGCATTTTTCTCAGAGCCAAGATGCATTGTCAGATTTTCTTCCCCTCCATGAGATAAGTCAGGTGCATAAAAAAGTGAAAAAACATTTTTAATCTGTTAGCAGAAGTTCCCTGCTGGAAGCAGTGCAATCCCTCAGCTAGCATGATAAAGATGCTCATTAAAGATGATTATGAAGAAATCAATTCCTCTAGGAACTGGCTGTGGCTTCCCTGACAATCCTGCTGGGAACAGTTTTGATCAGCAATGTTTCCTCCCAGAGTGGACATTGATCACCGCTTTCCCAGCAGTTGCTTATTCTACTTCTGTGACTCTTCCTCTCATCCCCTGGGAAAAGGGGATTTATTACCATAAATCAGAACTATAAATCTGGGATGCCATATGCCCAACAAGCTCAGCCCAGAAGCCAGGTGAGAGGGAGACACATTTTTATTCTTTGGCCTTTGTAATGCCAGGTTGTGGAAACAACAGATCACACAGTTGTGCGTGTTGTTCCAGCCAAGAGAGCCTGGCTGTCCAAATGCTCCCTCATCTGCCAGCCCCAGCCTTTGGAGGCAGTGACCTGGAGCTAAAATGGTGTGGCTGCTCCCACTCCCTCCTCTGCCTGACCTCCTGGCTCCCTTTTCACCCCCTCATCCCCTGGCCCTCAGCGAGCAGCCCCTCTCCGTGTCACAGGGAGTGCTGCCCCTGCCATCTGGAGCAGCATTTTTGTTCCAAGCCTGAATGAATTGGAAGGGAAGCAGGGAGCTGCTCCTGAGGAGAGACATGTCCTGAGCCTGCCTTATGACCCTGACTCCTCCTAGTGCAACATCTGCTTGGAAAATTAAACACCTCCCGAAGCTCTGTTCCTTTGTCTCCTCCACAAGCTCAGGGATTGCCTGCTATTTACCCTATGGACCAGCACATCTTGGAATTATGCCTTTTTTCTCCAGCTGAATTCCATGTTAGCTTGCACAGAGGAGCCCCTTCTGTGACAGGAACATCCCACCATCAGCCTGATCCCAAATCCTGTGCCTTCAGAGCAATGAAATATCATTTTTCCCCTTGTGGAATGGTCAGACACAGCTCCAAGATCCTCTCTCACCCTGAGCTGTAACACAAAAATAAAATCCCAACAGTCTGGAGGACAAACAGCACATAAACAGCAACAGCCCTCCACATGAAAGATGCAGGGAATGTCAAAAATGGGTTTGATTCCTATGGCCCAGGGTGAGCCATACTTATGGATAAGCTGTTTTATGGCTGGTGAAATCCAGCAACAAGAAATCTCTCGTCATTGCTCAAAGAAAACACAACTGAATGTCAACTGACACATATTCCAGATGTGCTTACAGATGCCAACACTCTGGCAATGTCACAATGTTAGGTACCTTATTCTTGGTATCCATTCTAATATTAGACAGACATAAATTAGAATCAAGTCTGACCCAAGCCAAGAACAGTTCCACGTAGGGAAGGAACAAGGCACTAAATCAAATTCACAGATACAGAAGGAAAGCTCAAGGATTTCTCATCACTCCTCTTAGATAAACTCCTCTTCAAATCTTTGAAGAAACTTCTTCCTGCAATGGATGGGCATTACATTTCCTGAAGCCCCAAGGGGAAACTAGGCATGGGAGCAAGAAGCCAAGGGGCTGCCAGTGCAGGACATGAATTTTGGGACAGGCTTCTCACACCACTCTGTGCTAAGGCAGCCACAGAACACCAGGATAGCATGAATTGGAAGGGACCCACAAGAATAACCAAATCCAACTCCTGACTCCTACTCCACGCAGCTCCCTGGGAAGTTGTACACTCACAGGGAGCACTAGCAAGGTGGCAAAAATTTAATTTCACTCAAAGATGAAGAGTCTCAGAAAAAACAGCCACTGGCCAAGAGGTAAGATAAATGAGGTCACTGTTAGGAACAAATCTGAAAAGCTGGACACCAGCAGAGCTGACCCAATGTCAGGGACAGTATTGTAACAGACCCAGTGTGACTCATGAGTAGCTGTGTGAGCAAAGGGAGGGCACTGAGTGAGTCTCCCCTGAGCTTCCCTGCACACACAGAGCTCAGATTCAGTGCAAACCCAGCCCCAGGAAGCATCATGGGAAGGGTCATCATTTGGGGGCTCCCCACATCCTCTGAGGTCCTGCCCTTGCATTGCCATCGCCTCCTGTCAGGGGACCTTGGCCATGGGGACTGGGGGTCACTTGAATACAGCAGGGGCACAGAAAGGGCAATCTCTTTTACCCCAGCTCAGGATGTGCCACTGGAGCCATCCTCATTTTCCCTTTCAGCTGCAGAAGCCTCCTGGGGTGATTTAGTGGGGTCTTTCCATGGGGTGGAGATGGAACCACCCGGTTCTGGAGTCAGACAGAGTCACCTTTGCTCTCCAGGCTGAGCTGGGACTCTGATGGAAAACCTGCAATCTGCACAATGTGGCATCAAACACCTGCCACAGCAAAGAGGGAGCACCAGGAAAATGCCAAGGGAATCCCTCTTCCAGCAAAGGCTGAGCTGTGCTCAGTCACTGCTGCCAGGAGCTGCCCACAAGCATAAATGTTCATGTCATGCCAGATCCAGCACAGGCAGAGAGATTCATTCTATTTCATTATGAAATGATACAAGCACCATAAAGTGTCAGCTTTCAAGTTCATAGTTTATAAATTAAGTGTAAATAGCATATTCTGACCTCCTCCCCAGCCACTCATTTATCCTTCCCCCATGAAAAATTAATGAGTCTATAAAGTAGCTTGTAAATTTAAAGCAGTAATTTTTTTGGCTTTTTTTTTTTTTAAATCAACAGTGTGACTTTCACAGAGGCCCTGAAGCATTAGCTAGCTGCAACCACTGCTGTTAATCACCGATCTTAGGTGTGTTACCATGCCATAGGAAAGCCTCCTGCTCAGATTTCTGGTGCAGAGCAGCATCAGGGGCCAGATAAAGCTCTCTGAGCTTTTTAGGCTGTCCCAGGAGAGCATTCCCCACTTTCCACAGCTTGGCAGGCTGCTTCCTTCAGGGGGTGCTTGAGGACTTGACTTATCCAAGACATCAGAATAAGAATTAGCAAGACAATTCTTAAAATAAAACTTTCTAAGTGAAAAATTCACCCCAGGCAAAACTTTTGGTCTGTGGGAAGGCAAGCAAACAGAACCAGACCAGCTAGCTCCCTTTTTCCACTATGAGGACTTCCCTGGGGTTCTTCTGCTGTTTAGTGACTTTTAAACTTCCCTTTGCACAAAAAGCTGCCTTGGTTGTTTTGCAAGGTCCCCTACAAGTTTGGGAGGACCTGTATTCCTGCCCCTTGGTGTGTGCATTTACCAACCCCATGCAAAGCTCAGAAAGGAGCAGGTGACAGCCAGGCAGGAAAAGGAGCCAGGTAAGCTGAGGGGCAGCTGGGGCAAGCACAGCATTCCCAGGAGCTGGAGCCATGGAGGACCACAAGGAATGAGAGCAAAGAACAGGAAACAGACTGGCCTGGAGGTGCCAACATGGGTGTGAAGGTGCCTTCCATGCAGCTGAGGACATGGCTAAATAAAAAATTGTTTCACAGAAATTAACTCTTATTGCTAAGGCCTGCCATTAAATATCCATCTCTTTTTGACTGAACAGAAAAAAACCCCACAAACTGGAGTAAACAAGGCAGAAAAAAAGAGTACATTTCCCCTCCTATAGACCTAAGTATGATCATGTTCCGTGTTCCTTCTCTGCAGTCTGATTACCATGAACAGAATGATGATTTATGACAAAAGTGGCAGATTTTATTCATCAGATTCCTCCAATCCAACATTAAAATCAATACCATTCCCCTGGGGACAAGTCATAGGTAATGACTTTATCTATGCTGCATGTAAAATATTTGTAATTGAGCAAAAAGCCTGATCCCAAATGCTTAAAAACACACAGCTAGGGCAGCAAATGTGATTGGATTCCTTATAATCTAATCATTTCCATCCATATGTGGCCCCCAATCTGTTTAGGATTGTTACAATTCCTGGATATTGTAGTGCCTTCCCCAGAGGACGCCGGGAAGAGCTGGGGCCAGCCTGGGCCAGATGGGATGGCAGTGCCTCCAGCCAGCACAGCAGAAAGGAGGACAGGACTTAACCCCTCCCCTGCCAGCCACCAGAGGGGAGATGGCACAGGGAGATCCCCGCAGGCTGCCCTCACAAGCTGCAAAGGGCAGGGTTTGGTTTAAAGCTCTCGGGAGCAAACTGGTGAAGCCCATGTGGCAAACAAAGCAAGGAGCAATAATCACATCCTCCTGGAAAACTGCTCAGTGCTGTAGGTGGCACTGGGGCTGTTTGCAAACTCCCCTGGCTACACAATGGAGGCAACTGAAATGCTGTAAATGAAACCAGCACCCAGGAGATGAAAGGCCTCCTGGTCAGACTGAAGGTGTTTCTAAAAATCCTATGGAGTTGCACAGCATCAGGGAGCACTGAAAGATGCATCAAAGTCAGCAGGCCCCTGCTTGTTTGAAGAACAACAGCCTGGCTGCTCAGCACTCCCTGCCCCTCTCTCGCCTGGCACTGAAAGGAGTGACCCAGCACTTCAGAACCTCCTGCACAGCAAACACTTGGATGCTCCTTGTCTACCAGGCTGGATTAGTTCTGCTTATACAAACTTAATCCTTTGTCATATAAAGCAAACAACACTAACAACAAAATACAGGATTTCTCTATTAGAACAGTGCACTGATGACAGACACCACCAATCCATTCTGCCTGTGACTTTCTTAGCTGGGATAGCCAGCAGTTTTCAGCTAAGCTGAAAATATCACCTTATTTTTCCATACCTGCCCAAACTGTTAGGCTGTTTGATGACTTCTAGGGAATTCTGTAGGTGTTTTCTAAGGAATTATTTAACAGGACTTAACCTAAAATCCTGGAAGCCTGGGGGCTATGGTAAAAGGAAAAGGAAATGAAAGTAGCAGCT